CTGGCTCTCGGTCTGACAGTCTCTTAGCCCCCCCCCGGGTGTCAAAGGGAACCGGCTCCAGGGCAGGACTTACCTCTCCTTCAGGAGGCTGCAAGGAGCCCACCACCAAGCAGTTCTCCAGGGCCGTCACTGGAAAGGTTTCAGCTGGGAAGCAGATGGGCTGCACGGTCTCACTGAAATGGATCGGGGCCGCGGTCTTCAGGAGGGTGATGTCGTGGGCCAGGGCGACGTCGTCAAAGGCCTCGTGGGGGACGATCGCGCCGATGGCCACCTTCAGACCGGCAACGCCAACCACGGCCGAGACCTGGCCTCTGGCCACCGAGGAGGAAGCACAGAGGAAGCAGATCGAGAGGAAGACGTTCAGTGTCCAAGCCGTCCCTCCACATCCCCCCCCATTCCTTTTGTAGGGCAAAGCCCTGGGGCCCCAGCGGGTGGGAATCCTACAGGCCCCCACTCCCAAAGCATGGAGACAGCGGCCAAAACCCTGGAGCTGCCGGCCCACGGAATCACTGGGGATTTAATAAGTCAACCCCTCTGCAAGTTCCACTGATTCGAATGGTCCTACTCTAACCGCAAAAGATGGCACTCCAAGTCAGGTGCAGTGAGAGCAGGGCCCCTTTGAGTGAAAGGGAACTTGAGGAGGAGTTCACTCACTAAATGCCTGTTGGGTCAAGGTCTGGTTTAGTGCTCTAGTTGGGTTTAGCGGCCAGAGGTCAAGGTCCACGTTCCAGCCACTCCTGCCACGCTTCCTAGCGCAGGGGTTCTGCTTTGCTCTAAGCAGAGGATTCAGCAGCAACCCCTGCTCTTCCTACCCAAGGAGACCCTAGTCAGCCAGAGGGATAGTGAGCTGGGGCACTCGAGGCCGAGGGACTCCCCTTGGCCGCCCAGGGTCCCGCAGGTCTTCCCAGGGCTGAAGCCACCACCTCGGGGCCCCGACCTGTCGTAGATCCCGGAGGCCGCCGTTACGATCCAGTGTTTGCTCAGGATGGCACCAAAGGCCAGACGGCCGCCGTCCGGGCCCTGCAAAGAGACCATCCAAGGGAAGTTGCCAGACTCTCGGGCCGAGCCTGTGGGAGCGAAGCTGTCCGGTACGCCGCATCCTGCGCCTGAGGCAAAGAGAGGGAGCCAAGCAGTCCGTTGCCCGGTTCTCTCCCCACCCTCCCTCTCCTGGTAGGCACCCGAAATCTACTGAATTCTGGGACACAGGTATCCCCGCCGCCCCCCGGGGCTACCTGTTTCTCCTGAACCCCAGGACTCAGAAGGCTCTCTCGGGAAAGCTCCAGCGAAGTTCCGCCACAGGTCCGCCCCCAGGCGCCACTCGCCGAGGGCCGCGACAGGAGGCAGGGTGGACGAGCACAGGAGAAGCAGGCCCCTGACCCAACACCCCTGTCAAAAGGGGGCAGAAGGAAGAGGAGGTTGGCTGGAGAGGCGCTCCGCCACCTCGACTAGCCGGTGTGGCTCTCTTCACACCCACTCCCAGGCCCCTTGCCCACCAAAGGGACCCTCTTCAGAAGCTCTTTCCCTCTGGAACCTTTCCCTCAGGCAATCTCGTCAGAGGTGGAACTGGTCGGCTGCTGGGAAACCCTGTTTTTCTCAACTGCTTTCTGAGGTTCATTGAGGGAAAGCTCCCCGCGATTACAGGACCACCCTGGACATGTTCTCTAGGGCCAGGCTTCTCATTCAAGCAGGGCCCCACGGAGCAGGAGTTCCCTGACAAAGAGGGCAGGGTGACTCCTGCCCGCTCTTGAGCCCTCCGTTGAGGGCCCAGGTAGGGAAATGGGAGCAAAAGGGAGCAATAACTCCCCAACCGGGTCAAGCAACACAACCGTTGGAGGGACGGAGGCTCTGTCCCTCGGTTCTCCTGAGGCACCACCCTGCCTTGGTGGAGCTCCACCTTCCCCTAAGCGGCTTCCCACGCTCCTTGCATCTCTTTCCTCGGAGCCTTCAGTCTAACTCATTCATCTCTGAGTGATCCTGGAAGGAGCAAACCGAGCCGTGGCCTACCTCCGCTTCCCAGTGGACCCTGGCCTGGCGCTGAGCTTGCCAGCGGCCTGCCATCCCTCAAGGTATGTCGTGGCTGCTCTGTGGGGCAGGGCCTCCTTGCAGCCGGATCAGCCACTGTGAGGTCACAGTGGCCACGTTCCTGCTGTTCAAAAGGAAGGCGGCCTTCCAGGAGGAAGGTTCCGTGTGGAACTCTTCTGGAAGAGATGCTGCTCTTATGCATGATAGGCTTCTTTGAAATGGTTTTGCAAAATAAAGAGTCTTGTTTTCTGCCTGGGCTTGTTGTGGAGAAATGAACAGATCTGGGATTTGGAACCCTCAGCCTGGCTCTGGACTGTTATTCTTCAGCTTAGAGAACTGGGATCTACCAGGTTTTTGCACGCTGTATAAATTAATAACGAATACCTTCTGGATACAAAGCAACTGTTGCCCTTGAGAGAATCTGATCTCTGTCCCATAATGTATCCAGAAGGTATTTGTTATTAATATATCCAGTCTCTTTGCATTCTTGTGATGGCCCAGTCTGCCTGGCACACAGCTAATCACCTGGGCTAGGACCTGCTAATTAACAGCCTGCTGGTGCATTCCAGGATTAAGGAGCTACTACAACTTTATCTGTTACCTGCACCCTCACCTGGGCATGGCTCATCACTTTAGGAACAAGTACAGTATATGGAGCATGTGTTTGTTGCATCCCCTGTGCCTGGATAAATCCATTTAGCTCACACCTTAGTAAATCCATTAGTCTTCACAGTGCCACAACATCCTGCCTCTTCCCCCTGTTTCTCGCCTTTATTTTACCGACATGTCCGTCTGAGAAAACGTCCAGCCAGGCGCCTCCAGAGCACAATTTGGAAAAGCCGTTGCTACTTCTCCGGATCACAAGACTCACGCTTGGCTCTGAGGCGATCGCAGCCCAGCCACGCAACTTTCCCAAGCTCTGCTTTAGAGCCAGGATGACCACTGGTGCTCAGCCCGAGTCCCAAGAAGGGTCCGCAAGGAGGTCATCGCAGTCGGCCGCGCAAAATCCTCCGCTTCTCGCCGCGCCTCGTTTGGTTCCCGCGTCCTAGAGCCCCTTGCGAGCGAGCGGCCAATCCGGTCGCAGCACGCTGCAAGGGGGCGGGGCTGCCCAACCGGACCGAAGGGAACGAGGTTTCACTCCGGTCCGCCTCAGAAACATTTAAGCGGCTCCTTCGGAAGCGCGGGGATTATTCTCGCCTGGGAAAGCCGCAGAGAGGAGAAGAGAAAAGAAGAGAGAAGCTGAAGAAGAGGAAGGCGCTGAAGACCCCGAAGACGGCACCGCTGATTCTGATTTGGAGGCTCTGCGAGGGGCGGACGCGGGCTTTCGTCGAGAAAGAAGTTGAAAGAAAGACGGACACAGGCAGGCAGTTACGGAGTTTTTGGTGCTTCCATGAGTTGAGTTGAGTCGTTTAGAGCCCCTATTTGCGCTGAAATCAATGGCCTGGTTGTGAGTAAGTGGTGGTGATGCCTAAAGAGCTGCGTTCGGCCTCCCAGAGGGGCTAGATAACGTTTAGTGGGACGTTCAGCAGCTGAGGTGCGTGACAACGGCATGAGGGCGACTTCCGCCATCGACTTCCGCCATCTTAGAGGTGGTATCTGCAGCCCTCGTGGGTTTGCGGTGGAGGCCCCGATTAGAGCGGCACGTTGTTAAATAAAAGTGTTTTCTCGCTTTGGGTCTTTGGCGCGCCAAGTGGTGGTAAACATTTGGTTGGTTCACTATTTCCAAGAGTCCCCCAGACAGGATTCCTCCGACCTGGTGGTTTCCGCCTCGTGAGGGTGGGTGTTCAGTCCGTCAGGAATATAAAAAAAGTCCGAGGAGGGAGAAAACGAGTTTTAAAAGTGATTTCGTGTCTGCGTTCGTCTCGTCATTGCCCCCCTCAACACTTCCCAGTCGGCTTCCTAAGGACAGAAAACAGGATCTTTTGCTGAGAAGAACTACCGTTGGGGATGCTGAAGACACGCGGCTTTTTATTCACTGATAACTTAGCCGTGACACAAGGCATCCTCTCGTTCTGTAATCTAGAAATAAAAACTCCCCTTTTGCTTTCAGTGGTTAATTGAAGTGATCAAGAATTTTCTTTGGCAATGCCATAAAAGTCAAACTCCGTGTGGTATTTTTTTTGGGGGGGGAACCAGAGTTACATGGGCAGGTGCGCGAAAACCCCCCTGCAAAATGGAGATGCTTTCGGGATCACTTAAAGCTTTCAACGGATTCCCTCCTTCCAAGTCAGCACCGTTGTCAAGGCTGCCCCTTTAAAGGCAGGCGTCCTTCCGAGGCTGTCGCCACCGCGCCGGCGCAAAGCTGGAGGCGGGGCTGACGGGTCCAAACGACAGCGGCTCCACCCTCTGACAGGCCGCGCGCATGCGCACCACCGTCCCGGCCTTGGCGCCTGGAGCGAAGCGGCTTTTTTTAAACGGGCGGATGGCGGAGGCCTACGTCCCGGTGGAAGCAGGGCTGGGCCCCGAAGAGAGCTTCCTTTCCCTGGAGGACATCCTCATGTCCCAGGAGAGGCTGCCGTGCCGGGCGGAGACCGACTTCCCCCGCCTGGCCGCCGTCCTGGGCAAGGCAGCGGCCGCTCCGGCCTCTAGCGACGTCCTCCCTCAGGTGAGGAACATGGAGGGAGGAGGCGCCCCCGGGCGGAAGTGACGACACACAGGAGAGGGCGCTTCCACAAAATGGCGCCTCCCCCCCCGGTGCTCGAATGAGAAGGTTCCGACCTGGTTGTTGAAAGTGTTTGCGGGTGGGTGAGTGGGGAAAGAGGTCTCCTCGGGAGGAAAGGCGGGCCCCGAGGGCGCTCCTCAGCCTTTCTCCGTGTCGGCCTTGGCTCTCTGGCCGTCGTTGTCTGGGGGGGGGGC